GGCTTCCATAAAGACAACATCCTCGAACGGCGGCTGGCCGTTGCTGGCGACGCCGGCCGCCCCCAGAGGGCATCGGCGGAAGGCTGCGGAGGGCGGGCCGCGCGCTGCCCCAAAAGACACGTCCTGCGAGACCCGCCGCTCGAAACTGGGAGAGGGCTGAAAAAGCGAGACAGCTACTTTCCCGGCGAAGACCGGCGGCAAAGCCCCTCCCGGGCGGGCACTGATGCGCGCGGAAGTCTGCGCGCCCAACCCAGCGCCCGCCCGGACCGGCGCCGGTCGAAGGTCTCCTTTTCCCGCTAGTTGCGCTCGTGGACGGCTACCCACTCACGATCGTCGGGAAAATCGGCCGCGTCTAAGCGCTGGCAGGCAACCTCCACGCGGTCGCCGAGGTCGGAGACGGGCATCGGCAAGTCCTCGGCTTCCCTGGGATCGAAGGACACGTGACGCGGCTTGGCGTGCACCCGGCGAATCGCGCCCCCCAAAGCCATCTAGCGGTCGTCCAAGGTAGGGCCCTTGATTGCGGCGTCGACCTCGCACTTCCTGAGCTCCGTCGCGAAAGATGGGCAATGCTTCGCCAGGTCTGGATGAAGGCGAAACTCTGAGGGGCTGCATCCGACCAGCTGGACTGCTCGATGACCTTAAGGAAACTGATCCATGGGGAGAGCCCTGCGTTCCCCCCCTGCCGACGTTAACTCGCCAGCCCTGAGATCCGCCACTGCATCAAGCAAATCCAGGCGCCCCGCCGGCGGCAAAGGGGGGCGCCGGCGCGCAAGGGTCACGATGTCGACCGCGCCAAAGCCATGCATCGCGACCAGTACTGGAGCTCGCCCGACAGGAGCGGTCTTGCCCCCCACCCCGTTGGCCGCGGGCAAGTCGGAAACGTCTTTGCTGATGTGAACCACGAAACCCTAGCTGTGGAAGGCCTCTGCGAGTCCATCCACGTCCGGAGCGCACGCCAGAGCTTGTCCTGCTGCCGCGTCTGCCAGAGCCTGATCTCCCATGTCCTGGAGGACGACTGCCGTGAAGGCCGCCTCGTCTGACTCCAGGCCGCGGAAGATGGTCGGACCCGCCTGGCCCGTCGCGCCCCCCGGGTCTGGACCTCCGAGCGTGACAGGGCCCACCTGGCCCTCGTCGCCCTGGCTATTCTCCTGAAGAGCCTTTTCGACGGACCCCACCTGGCCCGCGTCGTTCGGCAGACCCAGCATCGCAGTCCAGGAGCTCCCGGACTGAGCTGCAACTCGAGACGCGTCGAAGAATATGACGGAGTCTGGTTCTGGTCCGCCTCAGCCCTCAAACGATTACTCTCACTCCTGAATGGCGTTCTGCAGTCTCCTCCCCAGCGCCCTTCTCCCCCGCAGTTCGAGCACCTCGACTACGTCCTGAAGTCCCCCCGCAGCAGGCGACGGGCCTTTCGAGCCCCGCCTTTACCGCCGCCTTTGGCTTCTCGTCGTCGGCCGAAGAAATCCCAATCCACTCGCTCGTTGTTCTTCATATGGTGGGGCTCTTGCCACGCCTTGCGTCTTATTGCAGCGGTGGCCTAAACAAAGACGTCGGCGATGTCTTCTTCAGCAAAATCTGGGTCGTCCAAGGACGCCAGGCTCACGTTGAGCTCGATTTCGTCACGTTCGGTCTTGCATATGCCCGCACATGGGCCTCCGTCGTCGCCCCCGCCGCGGCCCTCCTGATCCTCAGCGCGGTCCACGACATGGACCATCTGACTCGACGCGGTCACGAAACTCGGCTTCGACGTCGCTGTCGCCGTCGCCTTGGGGGGAAAACAAAAAAACTTGCCCTGACACGTCAAGCTCCAGAGTCGCGCTCTTGAAAGACTGGAAATCCTCCTTCCCGTCCGACATAGCTCTCAATTTGACTCTGTTCTGCCAGGCCAAACCACGCCTCTCCTCATAGTACCTCGTTTCCACAGAACCCGGCAACATCAGCCCTGCGATCCTCTCGGCCGTGGCCAGATGGCTGTCACGTCTGCCGATGAAATCCGCGAAGGTCTCACCCTTCTTGATGGCGAAATCGAACATGGCTTCGTTATGGGCCTCCCTCTCGCGGTCTGCTGGACGCTGCCCCTTCAGCAGCTCCAGGTGCTCGATCAACTTTGGGAGGCTCGCGGGGGAATCTACAGAGCTCCTGATCCCTGGAACTTGGATTGCAACTCGACTGGGAACGTCTCGAAAACTCGCCCCGCTTGCACCTGGGGCTCGCGCGCGCCCTCGCCTTCCAAGAGCTGGCGTGGGAAGTGTACAGCCTCAGGCGCTCCGTCCCAAGCCATGGCGGTGGTGCCGAAAAATCCTCGTTGACGGGCGTGTCGCAATTTCTCTGGACGGGGCCACGACTCGCTTCATGACCAAGCTCCCCAACTCCGGTCTGGTCGCCAGTCCCAGCCTGACGTCCACCAATCGGAGCATGCCCAGGGAGTCGAGCCGGCTGCGGCTCCATCCTGAAGCATGTCGGCGGCTGCCGCCGACGCTGGCCTGATAGGAGTAGATAGCTGTTCCCAGGGATCTGCGCCGCCGAACTGTTCGACGGCGGGGCCTCGACGACCCCCATGGGCTGCTGGCTGCTGTTCGGACTGACCGCCACCCGCGGCGGCCTGCGACCCTTGCCCATTGATACCCTCCAACTCCCTTGCAGCCTCGCCCACGCTCTGGCTACTATAGTCGGCTGGCATGGGAGAGTGAGAGATCACGAAGACGATCGAGGGATATCTTTGGGCATGCTCGGGAGCACCCAAGTCTCACAACAGTCCCTGGCCACGCCAGCGCCCCGCAAGCCAAAATGGCTGCGGAGAGCATGTCTGTCACATAGGGCACACAGGATAGAAGGGATTGGAGGTTAAACAGAACAGGGGGTGGGCCATCGGGCCCCTATCGGCGATGCATGGGCCGTTGGAAGTCGATACGCCTCCCTCTATGCCTATCCCCCCCGATCGTTGCCCCTGAGGCTTGTTTAATTTCTGGCCCCCGACCTGTCCATTCCCATTCCCGAAGCTTCTGGCGGTCGCGCGCCCGACCGGGCCGCGCCCGACCCCCCCCCCAGGGCCGCCCGGGCGGGGGCCTACAATCATCGCTCGGGGCTTAAACATCGGCGCAATGAAAGTCCCTTGAATTTCATCACAACGCCCGCTAGCGGAAGACGGCGGAAGGAAAACGATGCGGAGACCGTCGGAAGGCTTGCGGAAGACAGCGGAAGCAACTGACTCCCCGTCCGAATCCCCTACCATGGTAGAAGCCTACAAATGTAGTGTTCTGCCAAGGGCCAGGCGGGATCCCGCCTAACTTACTCCCTTTTCCCTACTATAATTTCAGTTTTGCCAGATTAAAAATCCAACCCATTAGATATAGGGTACACAAATGTCCCGGGTCGTTCACAGATCCCGCAATTCTGACATCGGCACGAAGTAAGGTGGGGCTCCGAAATTGCAGCATTTCTGCCCTGTCAGGGCCGCCTTGAGGTCATATTGAGATCATATCCTGGTCATGTTTGGATCGCGCAGACGTCGCGTGTTCATTATGTGGCCACCCTGGGCGCGCGTGGATCCATCTTGTTGCCACGGGGCCATCTCGGCGTCACTCGTGGTTCATGTGTTGGGTCATCATCGACTCGGCCTGGGGCGGTCCAGAATTCAATTATTTGTTGCCCCATTTGAGATCTCAAGGGGCCCGCGGATTCCCAAGGCCTCGGGCGGTGAAGTGCCAAGCCACGCCGGGTGACCAGCAGCGGCTGCGGCGGCATCTGTGGATTAACCTACAGCCTACAGGGTCAACGCCAGCAACAAAACAACCACGAACTATCATCGGGCCGCAGCTGGGTGGCCGATAGAGCGGGGAGCGGGGGGGAGGAAGGCAAGGAGGGGCGCGGACAGCAACGAGAAGTAGACCTAACGAACAGACCAGCGGACGTAAAAATCACCACCTGGCCGCAGCATTGCCGGGTGGACGCTGGCGTGTCACACGCTGCAGGGAGGAGACCTGCGTGACACACAGTTCTAGAACAAAAGAGGAGGAGGAGGAGGAGGAGGAGGAGGAGGAGGAGCAACAACTGAAGGACAGAAGCGCCCGAGCAAGTTCTGTAACAAGGCTCCCGCGTGCGTAGACCGGGATTGGTAGGCGGCGCGCGCACTGAAGCCGACGTGAGCAGTTGCGACTGAAACAAACGCGGAGGGAGAGGGGAAGCAGAAGAAAGTAGACCATATTCGCAGGGTGTGCGCAACAAAACCGGCCTGGGTCCTACCATGTAGGGTCGAGCGCGGCTGGGAGCGCGCACCTGTGGTGCGGGTGGCCGAAAGCGTGCGCCACCCTCTGGTTCGCAGCACCGTGGCTCTGGCGGCCGTCCCAGACATGATATGAGGGCTATCTGGTTGACGGGTTCCCCCGCCCTCCTCTCCTGGCTCTCTCCGTTGCGTCCTGCGTTTCTAGTTCGTGCTAGCGCTCTGGGGCCAGTCGCGCAGCTCCATGGGTGGCCGGCGCTCTTCGCCTCCCCCGGAGTTCCTACTCCATTCTTTCTAATCGGTTTTTTCGGCCACCCGCACCACAGGTGTGCGCGCCCAGCCGCGCTCGACCCTACACGGTAGGACCGGGGCCGGGACGGTCCAGAATCCATGGCGGGATCGTGTTGGAGTGACGTCATCCCAGGGTCGTCTGGACGTTATCGCCTGTGGCCTCAGGCCCTCCTGGAACCATTTTGTGGCCATAGGGACGTATTGGGATCGCGCGCGCGCGAGCGCTGAGCACGCGCGCTCTACAATTCATCTCGCCGATGGGTGTACATAATACATCTCTTGTTTCGCGTCTCCCAGGAAACTGGCGCTGGAGCCACCTGCGAGTGGCCCTTCCCGAGGCCTCCCCCTCCCCCTCGTCCTCCTCCCCCCCCCAACCCTCGTCCTCCCCCCCCCTCGCCCTACCCCTCGCCCTCCCCACGGCCTCACCCTCCCCCCCAGCCGATAGTCTGCCTCGCCCCCCTGCAGGGGATGCGCTGCGGGCGCGCGGCGCCTCATCCGGCGCACGCCCGCCCGCACCAGGGCGTGGGCGCAGTGGCTGCCGACCCCGCCGAGGCCGATGACCGCGATGAGGGGGTCCGCGGCGGGGGCGGCACCTGGGCAACGGAAAGAAAGGGTCTTACAGTCGAGGCGTTGACCTAAGGAACCCTAAATAAGGAACGAGGCCCCTTTTTCCCATAAGTTAAACCTCGATGTTCTATGGAAAACCTCAGGAAAACCCGAGGCAAACTTTGAAACAATCAAGGAACACCGAGCCCCTCCCCAACGAAAAGGGTTCCTTCTTCAGCGCCCCGACTGTACACGAGATGAGACAGCGACCCTGCGCGGTGGCTTGCGCGGGCCACCAGCGCGGCACGCCGCAGAGGAGAAGAGGGAGCCTGCGCGCGGCGCGCGGGCAGCTTGCGCGCGAAGGTCCGCGCAGCCGAGCCCGTTTTCCTGCACCGCTCCCCTGGAAGGCTGGAAGGCGGGGGGGGGGGCTATGAGGAGGGGGATCGAGGATCCGCCTCGCTCGAGACATCCTCACACGATATCAGAAGCTGGGTGCGAGGCGCGCCTGGGTGTGCGTGGCCTGTGTGGGCGAGTCTGGGCCTGAGCGAGTTTACGCGTCAGTGACTCTGAGTGCGTATGAGCCTGAGTGTGAGAAATGAGTCTGAGCGTGAGTGCATCTAAGCACGAGTGCATATGCGCTTGATTGTATCGGCGTATGAGTGCATCTGAGCAGGAGTAAGCGAGAGTGTGGAGTCTAAGTATGAATAAGTCTGGCTATGAGTCAGTCTGAGTGTGACTGAGTCTGAGTGTGAGCGAGTCTGAGTGTGACTGGGTCTGAGTGTGATTTGAGGAGAGGGGGGCGGGGGGATGTGAGGAGGCTCCCCCATGGGTGGTGAAATCATCACAATACGTTCTGAAAGCACAGAAGTCCAAGCCACCGAAGAGGCAAACTGCCTGAGACGTCCCCACAGTTGGGGTTCGAACGGGCCCGTGAAATACTTCTGCGCGGATCCCACATTGGGGTGCTGGAACCAGCGCCTCGCTCGACCCTCTGCGAGTCTGAATGTAAGTAGGTCTGAGTGTCGGTTAGTTTGAGCGTGAATGGAAATATATGCGATTGACTGCGAGCGTGAGTGAGTCCGAATATGGATGGGTCTGCGTGTGAGTGGGTCTGCGTGCGAGTGGGTCTGAGTATGAGTGGGTCTGAGTGCGAGTGATTCCCCAGTAATAGTAATAGCATCGTAATTCGGATATGGGAACGTTCATCCCATATTTAAGATATGGGGAACGAATACCCCGCCTGAGGCGCACCCACACTCTGGGCGCGAACGGGCGAGATTCCTACCCCCTGGCGATTCCCCCCCTGGGGTGCCCAAATGCCACGCCTGCTATGTCGCTGTGGCCACGCGGCTCTCAAGAAGAGGACTCTGGGGGGGGGAGGACATAACAGGCAAAGCACCTGAGACATCCCCACAATATGGCTGCCAATGGGCAAGTGTCATGCCTACTGGCGGCTCCCCCTTAGGGTGCCCCAGTGCCACGCGTGCTATGTTGCAGCGACCCTGGGGCTCTCGAAAGAGTTATTATGGAGCTCCCTATGGGGCCACGAACCGTATGAGGGGTGTGCCGAACATGGTTCGGGGCCGCCATGCGGACCCTGCCGCTGGGGCCTTCGGTCGAGCTCCCTATGGGGCCACGAAGCGTGTGAAGGGTGTGCCGAATCGGGCGCGGGGCCGCCATGCGGACCCTGCCGCTGGGGCCTTCGGTGGAGCGCCCTATGGGGCCACGAAGCGTGTGAAGGGCGTGGCGAATCGGGCGCGGGGCCGCCATGCGGACCCTGCCGCTGGGGCCTTCGATGGAGCTCTATATGGGGCCACGAAATTTGTGAGGGCTGTGCCGAATCTGGCGCGGGGCCGCCATGCGGACCCTGCCGCCAGGGCCTTCGGTGGAAGGCCCCTATGGGGCAACGAGACGTGTGAGCGGTGAGCCGAATCGGGTGCGGGGCCGCCATGCGGACCCTGCCGAAGGGCCTTCGGTGGAGATCCCTATGGAGCGACGAAACGTGTGAGGGGTGTGCCGAATCGGGTGTGGGGCCGCCATGCGGACCCTGCCGCCGGGGCCTTCGGCGGAGCTCCCTATGGGGCCACGAAGCGTGTGAGGGGTGTGCCGGGTCGGGTGCGGGGTCACCATGCGAACCTTGCCGCTGGGGCCTTCGGTGGAGCTCTTTATAGGGCCACGAAACGCGTGAGAGGTGAGCCGAAATGGACATGCGGAGGGCAGAGGCAGGGATGGGAGGAGGGAGGAGGCGGGAGGAAGGAAGCGGGAGGAGAACGCTGGGCGCTGTCCCTTCAATACGAGGACCCAACACCACAAGACGGTTGGGAAAAAAGGAGGCGGTAACAGGCGAACCGCCTGAGACATCCCCACAAGCTGGCCGCGAACGGGCGCGTGTGATACCCCCTGAAGGCTCCCCCTCGGGATGCCCAAGTGCCACGCCTGCTATGTCGCGGCGACCGTGGGGCTCTCAAAAGAAATGGATCGGGGGCAGAAACATGTGCAAACCGCCTGAGAGGTCGCCACAATCTGGGCGCGAACGGGCACGTGTCCTCCCCCCCTGGCGACACCCCCGTGGGGTGCCCAGATGCTACGTCTGCGGCGCCGCGGTGATCATACTGCGAGTGTGATTGGCTATAATGTTAACCATACGTGCGCATGAATCTGAGTATGACTTGGCTGGGCACGCGTGGATCTGAGCGGGAGTGGCCCTGTGTACTAGCAAGTCTGAGTATGAGCAGGTCGGAACACTTGTGGATCTGCATGAGAGTGAGTCTGAATAACGGTGGATCGGGGTGTGACTGAGTCTGAGGGTCAGCGAGTCTGCGTATGAGTGCTCGGAATGGGATGGGAGGGAGGAAGGATGCGGGAGTGCGGAGGCGGAGAAGCCACAATAGTTTTTCGGCGCGGAGATCCCCGTATGTGCAAGTTCCTGACACGTCGCGATGTGAGTGTCTGGCCGTGAGTGCCCGGGCGCGAGAAAGAGGCTGAGCTGACGAAGAGTATGACGACGACGACGACGACGACGACGACGACGACCATAACGACGGCGGCGGCGGCGGCGATGGCTACGATAAGGGCAACGACGACGACAACTCACAGACACACAGGCGGTGAGCAGGCTCCCTGGGTCCTTCTCCCTGCATCGAAATGATCATGGGGCTCTGAATGGACAGGGGTCGGAGTTGCACCACCGAGCGCCTCGCTCGATACATCCCCACGATGCGGTCGCCTGGGGTGCTGAAGCCAGCGATTTGCTCGGGACATCCTGGCAGCCTGCTCTGAAAGCAAAGAAGCCCAAGCCACCAAACATGCAAACCGTTTGAGATATCCCCACAAGCTGCGCACGAACGGGCCCGTGGAATACCTCTTGGCGGCTCCCCCTTGGGGTGCTGAAGCCAGCGCCTCGCTCGAGGCATCCTCACACAATCTTCTGAACGCACCGAAGTCCTAGAAACCAAACAGGCAAACCGCCTGAGACATCCACAGGATCTGGGCGTGAACGAGCCTGTGAAATACCCCCTGGCGGCCATTGGGTGGTGAAACCAGCGCCTCGATCGAGCCATCCTCGCAGTCTGTATTGCAAGTACCGAAGTCCAAACCACCAAGCAGGCAAACCGCATTCGACATCTCCACAATCTGGGCGCCAACGGGGACCGTGAAATACCCCCTGGCCGCTCACAATTGGGGCGTTGAAGCCGGAGCCTCACTCGAGACATGCTCACAATCTGTTCTGAAAGCACCAAAGTCCAAGCCACCAAACAGGAAAATCGCCTCAGACAGACCCGCAGTCTGGGCGCGAACAGGCCCGTGAAATAACTACCCCTTGGCGGCTCCCCATTGGGGTGCTGAAGCCAGCGCCTCGTTCGAGGCGAACGCACAATGTTCTGACCGCACCGAAATCCAAACCACCTATCAGCCAAACCACCTGAGACATCCCCACAAACTAGGTGCGAAAAGGCGTGTGAAATACCCCCTGGCTGCTCCCCCATGGGGTGATGAAACCAGCGCCTCTCTCGAGGCATCCTAACCAGTTGAAGGTTGGGCGAGTCTTGGTGTGAGTGGCCTGTGCGTGTGAGTCTAGGTCTGAGTAATCTGAGCGTGTGACTCTGAGTGTGTGTATGAGTCTGGGTGTGAGATGTGGGTCTGAGTGTGAGTGTGTATGAGCATGAATGCATCTGCTTATAAGTGTATCTAACATGGAGTGGGCCTGAGTGCTGAGTCTGATTATGAGCCTCGGTGTGAGTCTGAGTGTGAGTGAGTCTGCGTGTGAGCGAGTCTGAGTGTGAGTCTGAGTGTGACTGGGGGCAGGGAGGGCTGAGAGGATGGATGGAGGCGCACCAGTAATGATTACTGGGCAAGGAAGTCCCCGTACGCACACCTCAGTTCGTGGCACTCCCGTCGGTGAGCACCTCAGTGACAGAGCATGAAGGCGTGCCCACTGAGCGCTCCCTGGCGGCTCTCCCAAGCCGTGCCCACATGCTGGGCCTCCTACATCGGGATGGTCTTGGGACTCTGAAAAGGAAGCAAACCGGCGTTGCGCCTGAGAGGTCCCACGGTCTGGTCGCGAACCGGCAACTGCAACGCCTCGCAGGACATGCCTGCTACATCGCGGTGATCATGGGGCTCTCATAAAAAAAAGACTCCGAGGCGCCGAGACAGCCGAACTCTTGACATCATCGCCTCGCTAAGGACATCGGGACAGCATCACAATCTGTCCTGAACGCAGAGACGTCCAAGCTACCTATCAGCCCAACCGCCTGAGACATCCCAAGGATGTGGGCGCGAACGGGCCTGTGAAATACCCCTGGCGGCTCCCCCATGGGGTGATGAAACCAGCGACCCGCTCGAGGCTTCCTCACTGGTTGAGGGTTGGGCGAGTCTGGGTGTGAGTGGCATGTGCGCGTGAGGCTGAACATGAGTGAGTCTGAGTGTGTAGATATGAGTGTGTATGAGTCTGAATGTGAGATGTGGGTCTGAGAGTACGAGTGTATGAGTATGACTGCATCTGCTTATGAGTGTATCTGAGTATGGGCGGCTCTGAATGGGAGTGGGCCTGAGTGCTGAGTCTGATTACGGATGAGCCTCAGTGTGAGTCTGCGCGTGAGTGAGTCTGCGTGCGAACGAGTCCGAGTGCGAGCGAGTCAGAGTGCGACTGGGCAAAGGGAAGGCGGGAGGGGGAAGCGACCCAGACTTCCCACGTCTTGAGAAACAGCCCAGGCGAACGGTTTTTGAACCAGACGAGGGGAGGAGGGAGGCGGCGAGGCGCCCCCTGCCAGCGGGGGCGCAGCCAGGGCGGCCATGGCGCCGGGGCCACAGCCAGGCCGCCCCGCTCGGGCCGATCCGCCCAGAGCAGCACGCCAATGGCTCGCAGACCTGAACATTCGTGGCACAAGGGGCCAGAGACGTACCAAAATCTCACGGAGAAGGGAGGGACGAGAAGGACGACGACGACGACGACGACGACGACGACGACGACGACGACGACGACAACGACGACGACGACCACGACGGCGAAACTAGTAATAGCATTGCATGCATCAAGGGGGACAGTATGATACGAATGGAGACGAGGACGAGGATGAGCACATGATGATGACGAGGGAATCAGTTTGCAAACTCACTCATGCAGGAACGCTCCTAGGTCGAGACGATCTACTAAGAGACTGATTAAATTATTTGGGGCAACGGCTGTTACCCGGGGGGGATGCGCGCTGTCTGGTCAAGGAATGCCCGTGCGCTGTCTGGTAAGGGAATGCCTCTTAGCTGCCTGACTGGGTGATGCCTGTTGGCTGTCTGGTAGGGGAATGCCTGCGTGCTGTCTGGTCAGGGAATACAGACACGTTGGCTGTCTGGTCGGGTGCTGCCTGTTTACTGCCTGGTTAGATACGACGATGACATTTCACACGGCGGAGTGGGAAACGCGATCATACCCTGAGCCGAAAGATGCGTCGTGGGCAACCAGCAAGAACGCGTAACGGAAAACGGGGCTCCGCCGCGCCCCCCCCCTCCAAAATTGACACCGAGAGCGCAATCGCCTGCGACCCGCGCGAGTGTTCCAACCGCCTCTCAACTTTGAACGGGGGGGGCAGGAAGCGGGAACTGCGTTGATCAACTTTGAAAGGGGGTTTACGCGTATGCCGCGCCAGCCAGCCCAGCCTCCTGACGCGAGCGAGCAATCAGACAAGATAGGAAGTCTTAGGGGACCGCTGCGTGGGTGCCCCACCCCCCACGGCGCGAGCGCGCGCGAGCAAGCGAGGACTCGAGGACCCGAGTCCGGGCAGCTGCGTCTCCGCGAGGACACACGGGCGAAGAAAGGCCCCCCGCCACGGCCGATGCAGACCCCACCCGAGGTAGATAGAAGGACTGGCGAGGGCGGGCAGGGGGGGAGCTCTGGGGTTGCTAAAGGTGCCCCTGGCCCAAGATGCCCCCAGCCTCCCGCTCCAGTGGAGCCGCTGGGTGCCCCTGGCCCAAGGTGCCCCCAGCTCGTCGCTCTGTTCTGAGGCCCCCGGGGCCCTCTCTGGGCCTCGCGAGGGGTGCCCTGGAGGCTGCGAGGGCCTCCTGGGAGATCCTGGGGGCACCTCTGGCCAGGGGCACCTCCTGCCCGGGGGAGCGGGGCGGAGGGACGGCGCGGCGACGCGGTCCTGCTGCTCCCGCGGGCCCTGCTGCGCCGCCGCCCCCGGGGCGACCGCCTCCTCGCGCCGCAGGGGCTGGCTGCGGCCCCGGCGCCGCCGCGAGCGGCTCCTGCGGAGAGGCCGGCTGCGGCCCCGGCGCCGCCGCGAGCGGCTCCTGCGCCGGAGGGGGGGGAAGGAACAGGCGGAGCGGCACGAGCAGGCCTGCGGCCTCTGGCCTCTTGCGCTGGGAAAGCCCAGAGGCCCTCCCGAGGTGGCGCCGCACTCCGAGAGGTCCTGCAGCCAGCGTGCTGCCATAACGGAGCGCCAAAGAGGGAACGAACGGGGCTTTTCTGGTCACGGCGAGCCTCGGCCGCGCATGGGCTCCAAACCCCCAAGATCTAAGAAGCGGCTCGAAAACCAGGGCCCCTCCAGAGTCCAAGGTGGTCCTCATTTCATTGTCTGATGCGTCCCCCACAATTCGGACTTGCATCAGGCTCGTCCAAGAGGGGGGCGTCCAAGAGGGGGGGTCGCAGATCGTGGCTCGAGGCATGTTGCGCGGACGAGGGGAGGGGGCCAGGGGACGTACTGAGAGAAGACGAGGGGGCGTTTTGAGATAAGACGAGAGTGCCATGATACCCAGGGAGATGTCATGGCACAGGCCACAATATCCACCCCCACCTGGTCATCACGCCCCCCGAAATGGCAGAGAAACCAAGCCTGGACGACCGACCACAGAGACCAGGCGGGGCCGTGCGCCCTGCACCCGAGGAGCATCGGCAGAGCCCGCTCGAGAGGGCCTGAGAGGAGCAGGAGATGAAGAGCGGAGGTCACGGGAGCGGGAAGGAGAAGGGGGATAATCAAATGGGGAGAAAAGATACATATACCGCTACCCTTCCGTCGTGTTCGCCTCCGGGGGGGCCCTGGGAGGCCCTCGTCGCCACGGCTGGAATCGCCTCGAAATCATGGTCAGAACGCACCTCGGGAGAGGTCTGGGGAGTGATGGTACCGGATCTGCGCTTACCTACCTAAAGAGGGGACGCCACTTCTGAACCACTCCGATCCTGGCCAGGCCCATCCTGGGCCCAGGATCAGCGTCAACGCCGTCCTGGCTCGGGCAGGGATGCGGATGCACTGGCACTTGGCCCAGGATGGACCTGGCCAGGATCAGCGTGGCGCATGGCTGGCATCCTGCAAGGGAAGGGAGAGGTAGGGCAAGCAAGCAAGCAAGCAGGAAGCCGTGCACATGAGCGAAGATGAGTGGGAAGCAAGGAAGGTGAAGCAGGCAAGCAGGCAAGCAAGCAAGCAAGCCAGCAAGCCAGCAAGCCAGCGAGCCAGCAAGCCAGCAAGGAAGCAAGCAAGCAAGCAAGCAAGCAAGCAAGCAACAAACAAGCAAGCAAGGAAGCAAGCAAGCAAGCAAGCAAGCAAGCAAAGAAGGAAGCAAGCAAGCAAGCAAGCAAGCAAGCAAGCAAGCAAGCAAGCAAGGAGAAGCGGAGATGATTGGGTGAAACAGCGAGCGTGCTACGCGTGACAGCGGGAGATGAGGACGCGGAGGGGGGGAGGGGAAAGGGTGAGCAAAGATGCAGCAACCCTCATTCGGTAGCCCAGCGGATCTTGGGAACGGGACCTGCACGTCGCTACACGTGTCCTGAACGTCCCTCGGCGGCGCGCAGGGGGGGGGGGGCAGTGAAAAGGAGCAGGCCTTCTCGGCAGGCGGTGGGGATTCTCGGAAGCCTCCCGGCCGTCTGAGAAGATGTCTGTGCCTTCGGGGAAGGCTTGAGACCACAGCCTCAGAGGGCCCGAGGCCTTCCGAGCACTCTGAGAGAAGGCCCGCCCCCTCTGACGCCTCCCCCGCGGCTCGCCGCCGAGCGTGTCCCCCCCGGCACATTCCGAAACAATGCCCAGGTGAGTTGCCTCGATCAGGTACACGTAGGAGCAAGCAGTGGAACAAAGAAGTGGGTCAGCCTCAGCATGCACAGAAGTCACCATAATTACATGCCTGAGAGGGTTTCCTTTGACATGGGAGCCTCTTGGAGAGACTAATTGGGCCTTCTCCTCTGACTGCTCCCCCTCCCCCCTCTGACTTCTCCCCCTGCCACCCGTTGGGAGGCGGGGGAGCGGTGGCAAGTCCTGGCCCGCGCCTTGGTCAGCGCCGTGCCCCGCGGCTGGCCCGCGGCGCCCGCCTCGCCTCGGGAGGCTGCGGCGCCCCGGCGCTGCCCACGCGCCCCCAGCCGAGGGGGGGAAATGTCAGGGGGGGCGGGCTTTCTCGGAGAAGGCTCGGAGGGCCTCGGGCCTCCCGAGAAGCATCCGGAGCCTCCTCCGAAGGCAAGCGTGGCCTCCCAGAAGGCCGGGGGGCTTCTGAGAGAAGCCCCGCCGCCTGCTGAGAGGGCCCGCCCCCTCTCACTCGAGGGGGTACACGGGTGGGGTGGGGACAAAGGTGAGGTCGGAAGGAACATCGTTCCGGACGACCCCTGGAGGAAGGAAGCGCGTTGAACGGGAGCATCCAGCTAGGCCCGCTCCCCAGCCCCACCTTGGGATAACCCTCCCTCTACGAACCCGCGACACACTCCCTCCGCAGGCGCGCCGCCGAGCGGTCGCCGCCCGCCTGTGCTCCCGCGGGGAGATCTCGCGCCGTGCCCTCGGCACGAGGGGGCGTGTCGCGATGCCCGCCGGCTGCGCGGTGAGGTTTCGGCAGCTGTTCACGGGTCACGTCGGGCGGGCTCGCGGAGGAGCGCGAGCCGATCTTCCCCTGAGAAGGTACCTGGCGGGACCGCTCGCCGATTAGCGTCGCGAAATGCGCCGCCAATTTCTGCGCCGAGGTCTGCGCCAAGGCTCCTGACTGCTTGGCGCGCTTTGTCGGCGCTATATCGTATCTATCTATTTGGAGGCACCTCTTGGCGAACACATTGGCACAAACACTGGCGCGGTGTTTGGCTCTGCGGCGAACCCGACGGGACAATGGCCCTTCCCTCCAGGGTACTGGCGAGGGTATCAGCAACGTCGCCCCCCCCCCCGTGCTACTCTCTGGCGCGCATCTCTGTCTCAAGACGGCCTGGAAACAAGCGCAAGACAGATCAGCGCCCAACGTCGGCTTCAAACACATCTTACAATAACTCAGAAGTAACTTTAAAAAAAACTGCTTGGCTACAAGCAGTCTTGTAGTCAAGCAAATTATGGTCCCCCTGCTTCCCCAGGATACCCCCAAGAAGCCCTCCACAATCCAGAACAGCCTCGGGAAGCAGCGAGCCCTCAACGTCGATTTCAAAGAAATCAAACAAAAACTAAAAGGTGACTCGAACCTTGCTTGACTACAAGCCATTTTGCAGTCAAACACATTATCACCCCCACTGCTGCCCCAAAATACCCCCAATAATCCCTCCGGAATAGCCTCGGGAAGCAGCGAGCTCCCAACGTCGGCTTCAAGACATCCAAAAGTAAGTCAAAAACAACCCACAATTAGCTTGCCTACGAACCGTTTGTAATCAAACCAATTCTTACCTTCCGTCTGCCCAAGGTTAAGCCCAGGAAACCCTCCAAACAATCCTCGGAAAACGACCTCCAATGCCTAACTAATCTGACCCAAGCCTAACTAATCCTGTGCCAGACTCATCCAGTGCAAGACTCATGCGGTGCCAGACTCATCCGGTCTCCAACTCCTACGATGCCAAACTCATCTGGTGACAAAGTCATCCGGTGCCAAACTCATCCGGTGCCAAACTCATTCGGTGTCAAACTCATCCGGTGCGACATTCATCGGGTGCCAAACTCATCGGGTGCCAAGCTCATCCAGTGCATGAACTCATCCTGTGCCTAACGCATATGGTGCTCATTCATAAGAATCCTACCTCATCCGATGCCTAGCTCATCTGGTGCCTACCTCATCCTCTGCCTAATTCATCCGGTGCCTAGTTCATCCAGGCTATACATCCAGTGACTCACCCATTTGGGCGAACTCATCCGGTGACTAACTCATCCATCCTAACTAATCCGGTCGCGGTTCACCCGAACTGGGGATCGGATGAGTCGGAGCGGATGAGTAGGCATCGAATGAACAGCCAATCTCCCTAAGACCCCCAAATAATTTCGGAAATTGAAGGGGGCCAGAATCAAACCAATCTTGTAATATAGTGTAAAACTGTTGCTTCATTATCGTTGGCAAAGCATTACCTCCCCTTTTTAGAGCCTCGCGGAGCGAAAGCATTATTAATTTAGTTCGCCGGACGGGTGTTTTTCAAGGGGCCTCTTCTGCAATGAAATTCAATTACTGTGGGGACCTATGGGAACGGAACCTGGATGGAGGGCTTATCGCAACATCGTTGAACGTTGAGGCGCCTTGACTTTACACTGGTCCTCTTCCTCCTCGTCCTCTTCCTAGAGCTCACAGAAAACAGACACTTGCTGCTATGGCGACAGCGTTCCTGTCAGCTTTCTGTCCCTCCTCGGGCCAATCATATTTCTCTCGGAATCGTATCGGAATGATGTTTAGAAGCCTGCCAAAAGCGATGCCGGGGCCTTGTAAGGCCCTGGAACTTACACCTCCTCCTACGAGCCCCCAGACCAACTTCTGGACCTTTCCCTCCCTCCTCCCCCTCTTCCTGCTCCATCCCTACAGCACTCCATCAGGAGGGCCTGTTGCGTTTCCCATGGATTTATTTGGACGCGGGCTGACGACTAGCCCCAGCTCCCTGCAAAGCCGACGAACGGCGACGGGCCCGAAAGCCGAAAAGGACGAGGGACGGACCTAGAACCCGAGACAGAGCCGACCGAAAGGACCGACCGAAAACACAAGGGACCGAAACCACGAAGGCCTCGGGCAGCAAGCAATCAGCGCAAACTGCTGGTACCGTTTTTGGGACGGATTTAAGCCCTGGTCCTCAATGGCAGCCATGCTGCCAGCACCAGGTGCAAGTACAAATACCCTCCATTTCATTTTGATCGCCTCCCCTCACCCAATATAACAAGGACAGGCTGCCACAAACACGAGCCAGGGCCGACGGGGCTAGAAAGCTCAGGTGGTACCAAACAATTGAATGCTTTGAGCGGTTTGGGACCCTTGAGCCGACCCCCGCAGCCCTCCAGGACGACCTTTGCGGGCACTGCCACGCCTCAGTGGAGGCGGCGCCCACCCGCCAGCGACGTTGCCAGAAATGATAAGCTCCCCAAAAAAATCGTCCACTTGGATTGTCCGTTTAAGCTGCTCTCTTGCGGCCGTCTGGGGGACCTCTTGGCCGCCAACACGCCGCCCGCCTCCCCCCTCAAACCACCCAACCAACCCACGAACCAGACCACAACCGACCCGCAAGCTAGCCCGCCAACCAGCCAACAAACAAGTCGACCAGTCTAGAGCGATGACGACACTGCAACAGCACACTTGTTTCGTCAGCGGCGATTTAGACCCAAGGCGCGGTCGAGACAGCCGAGGGACGCATCGGAGTCGAATTGGGCATGGGGGGGGGGGGGGGGGGAAAAAGGGGGGGCGCGGGGGGGACAGGACGCCGCAGGCGGCGGAACGCGCTCAGACCGTGAAGATATTGCACGTGCGTGCCAGAGCGCAGGCTTCTACGGGCAGCGCACCAGGGAGCGGCAGGGCAAAGCCCACTATAACACACAGGAGCGCCATTGATCGGTTTGAACGGAGGTATGGAGCTGAAAGGCCGAACCATCCGTCCGAACACGATCCGTAGGAAGAGGATAAATGAGAGCGATGAAGGGTTTATCCCTCGACGCTGCTCCGCCCTGAATCTCAGGACCACCAGTACCCCCGAGCCGATAGGGGCAGCGGTAAAGAGAGGTAAAAGTGAGACGGAGAGGGAACATACACGATTGGCGGCACAGGGCTGGGGGCCTGTACAGTATCCGCGGGAACTCCAGAACCAGGCGCGGGCCCCGCGGAGCGGCGCGCCCCTCCCCTCCCGGCCTGCGCCAGGGCCCCTCGCTGCGGCCGCGGCAGCCTTGATGGTGGCCAGGGTGACGTCCTTGCCCGGAGCAGCGAGCTCCTGCACCGCTGACTTCGGCGGCGAGCGAGGAGGGGGGAAGTGAGAAGGAGAAGGCCTTCTCAGACGGCGGCGGGACTTCTCAGAAGCACTCGCGCATTCTGAGGGGTTCCCTGCGTCTTCGGGGGAGGCTTGAAAAACAACCTCTAGGAAGGCCGGAGGCCTTCCGAGCCTTCTGAGACGGCCCGCCCCCTCTCACTTCCCCCCCAGGCGCGCCGCCGATGACTCCGCCCCTCGCCTACCCCCCTGCCCCCTCCCGCCCCTGCTGCTACTTCTGACTGGACGCCTTGATGGAGAAGATCGCGTTTCTCAGTGCACTGCCCGAGGGATCCACGACAAGTCACTGCACCCGTGATGCAGCGGATTCTTGCGCGGATCTCCGTCTATGCATAACACCGCAATGGCGAGCGAAAAACGAAGTGAATTTCACGTGGATTTTTTGCCTGCATTCCTGGACAAGGAATCCGCACGAAATTCACTTCAAAATCCGGAACGAAATTCTCCAGGACAATCTGGGCCCATCCCATTGTTTTCCGAACGAAATCCGCTCTGCGATGTTGGCGCCATGAGACAAGAAATGTACCGAACCAAGTGCGCGAACACTGCCGATCGAGTGGACCGTTCAAACTCGGCCTGCTGGAGCTCCGCTCGATGATTCGACGCCTGCGGCTCCCTGCGACGTCGACCCCCGGTCGGGCTTCGACCACGTCCCCCGGGCCAGAGGTCCAGCCTTCGCAACGTCTGGTGCCACCCGGGCCTGAAGACGGCCTGCAAATGCCAAGCACGACGGAAAACCGCCCGCCTCGATATGTGTATTGTCTCGTGTCGCCAGGATACGAGCGTTCTGATTTCTTCACGTTCCCCGTCCACCTCCTCTAGCCTCCGCAGCCCCATCGAGCTGAATGGCTTAGCGTACGATTGCGTTGTCGGCTCCACGAATGAGGGGTCCTGTTCTTTGCTACTGGCTACATATGCTCAGACAAAGGGGTCCTGCAAAGTCGTTCCCCAACCCAGGGCCAGTTTTCCAGAAACTCTTGAGGAGCTAGCCCGAATGGGAAGAGAGAGAACGAGAGAGAGCCAAAAACACTATCCCCTCCCCTCCCTACTTGTCGGGCTGATCCGCCGCCGATGGGATCGTGCCCCCGACAGCACGAAGCTGGGCGCCCTCATGTCCCATTGCGATCCCTGCGCCCGGTCTTGCAACTGCTGTTTCGACGGCGGGACCAATCGGCAGCGAATCGGGAACTCGGATCAGATCGGGACGTGCCCGATCGGCGCGCAGCGGCGCAGGATCGAAATCGGGATCGGATCGGCCGCGCCAGCATGTGCAACAGCCCCGTGCAAGCATCGGGCAGCCTCGGACCATAGGAATGCCGGCATCGAATCGGATCTGGCCGGTCTTCATCGATAGAATCGGATCGGTCGGATCGAAACGCACCCAGCAAGGGCCGCCGGAGCCCGGATCCCCAGGGCTCGGCATGACGGAGACTCTACGCCCTACGACCCTCGGCGCCAGAAAACAGGATCGGATCCCCATCCCTTGCGAATATCACGAGGACAAGCTTGCCTCCACAACCGAATCGGCGGATGAGTCGATGTGGTGGCTCGGAACGGCGCAAGCTGTTCGCAAAAGGCCTTCCGTGCCTAAAGAGGGGGGCAGAGAAACTGCCAAGGAGCTCTGTAGAAGCTGCCACAGAGCTCCTTGAAAGGTTTTGAACTTCTGAAGATTCAGAAGCTTCAGAACTTTGGGAAGTTTCTGAAGCTTCAAAACCTACAACAGGCGAGTGTCACTTCACCGCGGAATGAACCAGTTTGCCAGGGATTTGCTTTTTCCTCGGTGGAGCTTTTCATTGGGCCACGAAACGTGTGACGGGTGTGCCGAATCAGACACGTGCGGAGAGCAGAGGCAAGGGATGGGAGGAGGAGGAGGAGGAGGAGGAGGAGAAGGAGGAGGAGGGCGAGGAGGAAGAAGGAGGAAGTGACGCGGGGCGCTGTTTCTTCGAAACAAGGACCCAGCACCACAGGGTGGTAGGGAACAGTGCAAAATACAGTTTGGCGCAAAATCTTGGATCATGCTCGTGGGCCCCGCGAATATGTTGGATTGTTCCCTACCTAGGCTCTGCCTAGAAGGGTTCTCACTGTGTTCTCTTAAAGGGCCGGGCAGTGTAAAACGCCCCGGGCGGTTCCCCCGGCATCCGCCCCGCGGTTACCCCAGTTGCGCCCCCTGGGTTCACCCAGCTTAGCTTAGCTAAGCTTAGTTTAACTTAGTTTTAGCTTAGCTTATCTCATCTTGGCTTAGTTTAGCTTAGCTTAGCTTAGCTTTGCCTAGCCTAGTTTAGCTTAGCTTAGCTTAGTTCACCTTAGCTTAACTTAGCTTAGCTTAGCTTATCTTATGTTATAGCATATTAGCTTAGTTTAGCTTAGCTTGGCTGGCTTCGCTTAGCCCAGCTTAGCTTGGCCGAGCCTATTTTAGCTTAGCTTAGCATAGCATAGCTTCTCTAACCTTAGCTTACATTAGCTTAGCTTAGCGCAGCGCAGCATAGCGCAGCGCAGCATTAGTACAGCACAGCATAGCATAGTATAACATAGCATAGCCAAGCATAGCATAGCATAGCATATCATGGTTCCGCATAGCATAGCATAACATAGCATAGCATAGACACGCATAGCATAGCATGGAATATCATAGCTCAGCATGGCATAGCATAGCATGGCCAAGCATAGCATAGCATAGCATAGCAGTTCATAGCATTGCATAGCATAGCATAGCGCAGCATAGCATAGTATATCATAGCATAGCATAGCATAGCATTGCTTAGCATAGCACAGCGCAGCACAGCATAGCATAGCACAGCATAGCATAGCATAGCACAGCACAGCATAGCATAGCATATTATAGCGCAGCATCGCAGATCATAGCATAGCATAGCATAGCATAGCATAGCGCAGCAAAGCATAGCATAGCATAGCATAGCATAGCGCAACATAGCATATCGTATCAGATCATATCATGGCGCAGCATAGCATATCATAGTATAGCCTAGCATAGCATAGCATAGCGCAGCATGGCATAGCATAGCATGTCATAGCATAGCGCAGCATAGCATGTCATATCATATCATAGCATAGCGCAGCATAGCATAGCATAGCATAGCCTAGCATAACACAGCGCAGCCAGAATGCATGTGATGTTGATGCAGATGCAGGTGTAGATGTAAATGTTGATGTAGATGTAGATGCAGGTGTAGATGTAAATGTAGCTGTCGGTGTAGATGTAGATGCTGCTTTCCTAAATGCTCCAACTCCTAGGTAGGGTCGCACTGGGATAAATTGCTGACAGGGACGACGGGGGGGCCAGCATATTGCCTGCTGCGCGCAGGGCCACCACCCCTGTCAACAAAACAATACAGGCTGCACTTCGCGGCTAAATCTGGACCGTGTGTGGCCACCCCGCGATCACTGCCCATTGGTTTCTGACAGGGACGGCGGGGGTGCTGGCATATTGCCTGCTGTGTGCAGGCCCGCTAGAGACCATGCTGGCCACCCCGCCGCGATTGCGCTCTGGTTCTCGACAAGGTTGGTGGGGGCCGCCATGTTCCCCTACTTGTGCTGTCAAGTGCGCGGGCGCACCTGGCACACTCTGAGCGTGCCCCGAACGTGGCGCACCTGCCGCGGCTGGAGCATGCGGCACACATGGCGCACGTGGATCACGTGGCGCTTCTGGCGCACCAGACGTGCCTGGCACGCTTGGGGCCCAGGAGTGCCTGGCGCACCTGGCGCACGTGGTGCGCCTGGCACGCGTGGCGCATCTCGCACCAGCGTCGCGCACATGGGGTCGGGTTTGGTAGCTGCCCATCCAAATACGACCGCTGAACACGCTGAGGCTCGGGTGCTACTTATGTGTTGGGAAGGCGGGTGGGAGTGAACGAAGACGGTTTGCGGGAGGGGAGGGTATCTGGATCACTGTCCCCTATCAATGAACATTCCCTCCCCCAGGCGACCGGCAGCCAACCAGGACAAATGAGGACCCCCCCCCAACAATCCCTGTCAAAAAAACAATCAACATCGGGCCAAATTCTTGGGTCATGATCGGGGGGGCCGCGAGCACTTGCAATGTTTTTTACAGGGGCCGTGGGCGTGTCAGCATACTGCCTGCTGCGCGCAGAGCCTACATCCCTTCCAAAAAGCAATACAGAGCGCTTGTCAAGACAAAATCTAGATCATGCGCGGGCACCCCGCGATCACTGTGCGTTGGTTTTTGACTGGGACGGCGGGGATGCTGGCATATTGCCTGCTATGTGCAGGCCCACAGGACGCTATGGTTGCCACTCCGCCGCGATTGCGCACTGGTTTTCAACCACGTGCGCAGGCGCACCTGGCACACTCTGCGCGTGCCCCGAACGTGGCGCACATGGCGCACATGACGCGGCTGCAGCATGCGGCACACACACACCTGGCGCAAGTGGATCACGTGGCGCATCTGGCGCACCAGGCGCGCCTGGCACGCTTGGGCCCCAGGGGGAGCCTGGCGCACCTCGCACCAGCGTCGCGCACATGGGGTCTGCTTTGGTTCCCAGTAGCTGCCCATCCAAAGACGACTCCTGAACCAGCTGCGGTTCGGGAGCTAATTATGCATTGGGAGGGCGGGTGGGAGTGAGCGAGACGGTTTGCGGGCGGGGAAGGTATCTTGATCACTGTTCCTTATTAACAAACACTCCCTCCCCCAGGCGACCGGCAGCCAACCAGGAACAATGCCGACCGCCATGATCACAACCCCACCATCCCTGTCCAAAACCTATGCAAAACACACTCCGCCTCCAAATTCGGAGCATGCGCAGCCAACCCGATGCGACTCCCCACCATCCCTGTCCAAAAACAATACATAATACACTTTGAGACAAAGTCTTGAGTCATGTTCGTGAGGCCTGCAGCACTTTGTATTATGTTTGACCTGGACGGCGGGGGTGTCAGCATATTGCCTGCTGTGCGCAGGGCCATCCCTGTCAAAAAACAATATAAAATACACCTCGCGGCTAAATCTGGATCATGCTCGGCCACCCCGCGATCACTGTCAAGTGGTTTTCGACAGGGACGGCAGAGGTGCTGGCGTTATGGCCTGCTGTACGCAGGCCCACCAGATACAATGATAGGCATTGGTGCTCATCAAGAATGGTGGGGGCAGACATGTTTCCCGATGTGTGCTGTCACGCGCAGGCGCACCTGACACAATCTGCACGAGCCCCGAACGTGGCGCACCTGGCTCGGCTGGAGTATGCGGCACACCTGGCGCAGGTGGAGCATGTGGCGCATCTGGCGCTCCAGGCGTGCCTGGCACGCTTGGGCCCCAGGGATGCCTGGCGCGCGTGGAGCGCCTGGCACGCGTGGCGCACCTCGCCCTAGCGTCGCGCACATCGATTCGGTGTTGCAGCTGTCCATCCAAAGACAACCGCTGAACATGCTGAGGCTCGAGTGTTACTTCTGTGTTGGGAGGGCGGGTGGGAGTGGGCTGGACGGCTTGCTATCTAGGAGGGTGCCTTGACCCCCTACCTCCTACCCCTGGGTCTGGATGAGGGGGGTCGCGACCGATTGAAGTGTCCAAGAAGGGCTCGGCGAGAAGGCACAATCTTCCCCAAGATGGCCCAAGATGGCCCCCAAGGCTCCCAAGAGAGCCCGAAGAGGGCCCCAAGAGGCGCCCAGGAGGCCCCAAGAGGTCCCCAAGAGACCCCAAAGAGAAGAGGCTCCCCCCCAAAAAAACAAGATGCCCCAAGAGGCGCCCCCGAGGCACCCAAGACGCTCCCAGAGGCACCAGGAACCGCCAAGGAGCCTCCAAGATGCCCCAAGAGGACCCCAATAAGCTCTCAAGAGACATCCGAAGAGACTCCTAGTGACGTCCAAAATGCTTCTGGCCTTTCTGCTCGCCCTCCTTCTCCTCCTTCTCCTCCTCCTCATCCGCGTATTCCTCGTCCTCCTCCTCTTCCCCCTCCCCCTCCTCCTTCTCCTCCTCCTCCTCATCCTCCTCCTCCTCCGATTCAACATCCTCCACATCTTGGGGTACGCTGGCTTCCCCAACACCTTATTCCACGGCATGCTCCGTCAGATCCCTGATCAGGGCAACTCACCTGGACATCGTTCCTGGATGGGCTGGTGGGTTTACTTTTTTGGTCGCGGCCGCGAGCGAAGAGCGCACGCGGCGAGAGAAGTTGTCCGGGCCTACGAACAGACCTAATTAGCTACAAGACGCGCCGCAGGCCGGCCGGCCCACTCACCAAGCAGCAGCGGGGCTGCGCGGGAGGCTGACAGCTGGGGGCATCCAGGGAAGCTCAGGCACGTGCAGTCTGACAAAATGCCGAGAAATTAAGCTGGTGGGTTTACTTTTTTGGTTCGCGGCTCCAAGGAAAAGCCCAGGGAGCGGGCACAACGTCCGGGGCGCAGAACATGTAAATTGGCCGCAGTGGCGTATGCACATGCAAGGAACAAAATGCCCCTCATTGCTGGTGGGTTTGCGCGAAGCGTCTAGGTGAAGCTTCTGGAATAGAGCCTACCCAAGTCCAGTCCGGTCTGCTCCAGTCCAGTATACATCAGTCCACTCCAGTCCACTTCATTTCAGTCTTCTGATTTAATCTGATCTATTTGGAGCATGCGCTTGCTGGTATTTGTTAGTTTCGAGTTGAAGGTCCTCCAAAGTCTGAGAACCGGATACAACCCTCACGCAGATCAAGAAGCCACGGTCCAAAAAAAAGGTTGCTCAACAGGTCTGTCGAGACACTCGACAGCATAGTCGTGTTCCACGTGCTGCAACTGATTATGAAAAGCCACTGTGAGCTGAATGGTTTCGCTGTCCGGTTCAACATACGTATGGAGAGCAACCAAGCCCAACGACATAGCACTCATCTGTGCAAAGAGGCGTGCTTCCCGATTGGTCTAGGCATGTGTATTCAATGCGGTTGCTGAACGGATTCACTAACGCATTCGTGTTTCGGAATGCTTATTAAAAGACCCGTGCTCTACACATTTACAGACACTTCGGTCAGTGACTGACGTTGAACGCCCCATGCCAATTGTCTCATGTTTGGAATATATTCCAACCGTTATTGCGACCGTGCCCCTGAATGGGAGCACGCGTGCCACTGGTGAAGCTTGTATACATGTTTTCACAAAGAGGGCAACAGGGGGAGGGAACACCCCTCGCGTACGTGTGTATGATGTTTGCATACACACATACAGCTGACCGAACATTAAAAACATGGAAATGAAATAGATAGCGAGAGGGACAGAGAGAAGGAGGGAGAGATAGAGACAGAGAGGGAGAAAAGAGAGAGAGAGAGAGAGAAAGCGAGAGACAGACAGAAAGTGAAGGAGAGAGAGAGAGAGAAAGACAGAGATCTGCGACAAGGGCGCCCCCCTGAGGCTCCGGCGACGATGATGAGCTCGACGACTTGCCCTCGGGACGGGAGCGGGAGAGACAAAGAGAGAGAGAGAGAGATAAAACGATCAGCAACTGCAGGGTAGTCAAACAAGCCCTCTGGGAGTGAGTGGTTGAGAGCGCTTCCACGTCCAACCCCCTTCTTACCCGTCGGGGAGGGGCGCACCACTACTCCTTATTGATATACACCCCCTCCCCCACCCGACCCGCGACAAAACAGTGACCACGCCAACACCCCCCCACCAACTCTTGCAAATCATCCCAGCGAAGGATCCAACCATATGCCGACGCGGGTACTGCAACGCACGTGGGACGAAAGAGGGGCAGTTCCCTATGGGGCCACGAAACATGTGAGCGGTGTGCCGAAATAGCTGCGGTGGCGTCACGCGAACCTTGTCATTGGGACCTTCGGTGGAGGTCCCTATGGAGCCACGAAACGAGCTACGGGTGTGCCAACATGGGCGCGGTGGCGCCAGGCGAACCATGCAACTGGGACCCTCGGTGGGGCTCCCTGCGGGACAACGAAACGTGTGAATGGTCTGCCGAAATTGGGCGCGGTGGCGCCATGCGAACCCTGCGACTGGACCTTCAATGGAGCTCCGTATGTGGCCACGAAACGTGTGACGGGTGTGCCAACTGAGAGCGGTGGCGCCATGCGAACCATGCAACTGGGGCCTTCGGTGAAGCTCCTGGTGTGCCGAAATAAGCGCGGTGGCGCCATGCGAACCACCGACATGGTCGACAGGAACGTTTGCTTTGGTCTCAGCGGTCCCTACTGTCAGCCGCCGAACGTGGTTGCCGAGTACGCAGCGCTGTTCGCAACGCGACCATAACTCGCCTGAGATCGCACTTCGCCTCGCCGCTACGAGAGTTTGGCCAAAATTCAACTCTGCCCGTTCGGCGGAAAGGGCCCAGGCAGAAGCTTGCCAACGGATGCCATATCCACGGGGGCCCGTCAGGCGACGGAGCCCCAGTACGATGTTGCCAGGGTGTGTCTTGTTGCTTCGTGTAGCGAGCACAATTCCACGCAGTTTGGATTTCGGACCAGGGGGATTACGACTTCGGCTGAATACGTTTCTTCAAAGAACTATTGGCCAGAATCACCATGTCGATTTGTGGCCGACAGGATTCGCCATCAGGTCGAAGGCGTTTTGTTGTGCGGGGTAAATCCCAGGCGAAAACTACAGCTTCGATTTATTGGTTTACCGAATTCAAGGTGAAGGCCAGACGGGCTGCCCGTGTCGAAACGACTATTCCACTAGAGACTTCATCGGAAAAAGCATGTCGACCGAAGCCGAATTTCGGGCTCGAAATCGAAATCACGATTCCGCCCAACACTTCATCCAAAACAGAATCAAAAGCCACTCGATTCAAAGTCGAAATGGCGACTCCGCGCATGAATTTCTCCAAACTCAATTCGAGCCTTTTCGGGTTCGAAATCGACATGAAGCGTCTTGCTGCTCGCCGGCTCTGGCGCCCAATGGCGTGATTGACACTGCCCACCATCGGAACCTTCGTACGACATTGTATTGGTAGAGCCACGAGATGGGCCAACACTTTCATAGCGGCCCGCATGGTTGGCATGAACGTCGATTTCAACTTCAGCGGTCCATAGTGTCAGCCGCCGACCGCGGTTATGGAGTGCGCAGCGCTGTTTGCAACGCGACCACAAATCGCCTGATCCACTGGGCCCGCATGGTCAACATGAACGTTTGCTTTGGTCTCCAATGGTCCCTGCTGTGAGTCGCCGAGCGCGGTTGTCAAGTGAGCAGCGCTGTTTGCAACGCGGCCATAACTCTCCTGAGATCCGACTTCGCCGCTACGAAAATTCAGCAAAAGCACAATTCTGCCGTTTAGGCGGACGGGCCCTGGTAGAAAGTTGCCAACGGATGACATGTCGGACGCAATGTTGCCATAGTGCGTCTCATAGCGAGCGGATTTTCACGCGGCTCGGATTACGGACCAGGGGGGGTACGACTTCGGTTGAATACGTTTCTTCAAAGAACTATTGGCCAGAATCACCATGTCGATTTCTGGCCGACGGGTCTCGCCATCAGGTCGTAGGCGATTTTCTTCGAATACATTCAAGCGAAAACTACAATTTCGACGTTTCGCTTTACCGATATTCTTCTTATAATAAAAACTATGTCCAGAATCGCCATGTCGACTTTCGGCCGACGGTTCGAATTTGGTGTCACCGAATTCGAAATTTGAATGCCAAACCGGTTGCACGAGTCGAAACGAAAAACCCGCTTGAGTCTTCACCGAGAAAACAAGTTAGACCGAAGTCTGAATCTCCAGGTTCGAAATCGAAGCCGCGATTCCGCCCAACACCTCCCCCTAAACATGATCAACATCGACAAGGCGATTCCGTCGATGATTTCCACCAGAACTCAATGAGCCGTGTCCTGCTGCTCGCAGGCTATGGCGCTCAACGGCGTGATGGACCTTCTCCACTATTGGAGCCTGTTTCCAGCACTGCGCCGATAGAGCCACGGTCTGTGTCAAATGTTCGCAGCGACGATGCATGGAGCCAAGAAAGGTGCGAGGTGTGTGTGCCACAATTCGTGCGGTGGCGCCAGGCGAACCCTGCCAGTGGGGCCCTCGGTGGAGCTCCCCATGGGGCCACGAAACATGTGAGGGGTGTGCCGAAATAGCTGTGGTGGCGCCACGCGAACCCTGTCACGGGGGCCGAAACGTGTTACGGGTGTGCCGAAATGAACGCAGTGGCGACATGCGAACCCTGCCAGTAGGGCCTTCGGTGGAACTCCCTGCGGGGCAGCGAAGCGTCTGAAGGTTGTGCCGAAATCGGTGCGGTGGCGCCATGCGAACCGTGCGACTGGGGCCTTCGGCGGAGCTCCCCACGGGGCCACGAAAAATGTGAGGGTGTTCCGAGATGGGTGTGGTGGCGCCATGTGATCGCAGCCACTGGGGCCGTCGGTGGGTTTCTGTGGGGCCACAACGCGTGTGACGAGTGTGCCGAAATGGACGCGGTGGCGCCATGCGAACCATGCCACTGGGGCCACTGGCAGAATCCCATATGGGGCCACGAAGCGTATGAGGGGTGTGCAGAAATAGACGCGGTGGCGCCATGAACCCTGCCACTGGGGCCTTCGGTGGAGTGGGTTCTTTGCGGGGCCACGCAACGTGCGAAGATTATGCCGAAATGTGTGCAGTGGCGCCGTGCGAATCTGCAAGTCGGACTTCGGTGGATCCTAGTATGGGACCACGAAGCGCGTGATGGGGTGTGCCGACATGGGTGCGGTGTCGTCATGCGAACCGTCCCTTTGGGGCCTTCGGTTGGGTTCCTTGTGGGGCCACGAAACGTGTGAGGGGTGTGCCGAAAGGAACGCTGTGGCGCCATGCGAATCCTCTCATTGGGGGTTTCGGTGGGTTCCCTATAAGGCCACGAGACGTGTGAATTGTGTGCCGAAGCAAAAGTATACGAAGGGCAGGTGGACGGATGGGAGGAGGGAGGAGGGGCAGCGGGGGAGGAGGAGGAGAAGGAGGAGGAGGAAGAGGAAGAGGAGGAAGAGGAGGAGGAGGTTGAAGAGGAGGAGGAGGAGGATGAGAAGGTGGGACGCGGGGTGTTGTCTCTTCAAAACGAAAAGATACCACAAGATGGTGTGGAGCAGTAAGGGCTGCACGTCGCGGCTGAAATCTGGACAATGCGCTGGCACACTCCGATTACTGCGCACTGGTTTTTGGCAGGGGCGTCGGGGAGGTGCAGGCATAACGCTTGCTGCGTGCAGGCCCACCAGAGATCATGATGGCCAGCCCGTCGTGATTGTTCATTGGCTTTGGGCAAGGACGGTGGGGGCCGCCCTGCTTCCCGACGTGCGCGGGCGCACCTGGCACACTCTGCGCGTACCCTGGACGTGTCGCGCCTGGCGCGGCTGGTGCACACGGCACACTTGACGCACGCAGAGCACGTGGCACATCTGGCGCAGCAGGCGTGCCTGGCACGCTTGGGCCTGAAGGGCGCCTGCCACGCCTAATGTGCGTGGCACGCCTGGCGCCCGCGGCGCATGTTGCCCTAGCGTCGCGCACCTGGGGCCTGGATTGATTCTCAATCGCTGCCCATCCGAAGACGACCGCTGAATATGCTGAGACTCCGGTGCTGCGAATGTGTTGGGAAAACGGGTGGGAGTGTGCGAAACCGCTTGCGTGCGGGAGAAGTGTTTTGATCCCTCCTGCGTACCCCCTCCCCTGGGTCTGGAGTGGAGAGAGCAAAGGTGGCCCTCAGAGGGCCTCAGGGGGCCCAAGATGACGAGGCCTCGTAGCCTCCCCAAGCGGCCCCTAGGAGGTCCAAAGTTTTCAAACACCTAACAAAATGAATGGCGTGCGCCTTCTCGTTCGTTCGCTTCTGATGGCCCTCCGAGGCCTCAAGATGGCTCCAAGATGGCCCAAGAGAGCCTCAAGAGATGCCAACGAGAGCCCCAAGACGGTTCCAAGCGCGCCCAAGAACGCCCCAGAGCGCCCCAGATCGCCCCAAGAGGGGCCCAGGAGGCAAGCGTAGGCGCCCTAGGGGTGCAGTGCCAATTGGGGGCCTCCCCCCCCTTGATCGTCCAATTCGGGAACTGCCGAAGGCCAGGGCCCCAGCGGCCGGGCGATTGGAGGCCCGCGCCATCGCGAAACCATCTCGGGTTCTCGATGCACTCGCAGCAGCGCGGCGGCCCCGCGCCGCCAAATTGGCCCAGGGGCCTCACGGTCGCGCGTCTCTTTCCCTGCCACCACGCTGCGATGATGGCGTCCGCATGGCAGTCGGAGCGCAGGCCGCAGTGGCGCCTGGGTGCAGCGCCGTCGAGCTCCGAGACCCCCTCGAGCAGATCTGGCCTTGTCGGGGACGAGCCCGCGAAGGTCGTGCTGGCGGCCTCCGTGCCGTAGCGCTTGACGGGGAAGGGGCTGCCCCACTTGCTCGCATGCGGCAGCGGCCCAAGTTACACGTCGTTCGCATCGAGCTTCGGCATCACGTCATGAAGCCGCGGGTCGGTGGTCAGTCCTGGAAACCGACCGAT